CGACTGAAAGGGCGAACATGTTTGGTGTGACGGGGATTCGAACCCGCGACCCTCAGATTGCTAGTCGAGCGCCGTAACCGCCATGCCGGGCCACACAGTTTACAGTGTTAATTTATCTCTTTATCGAACTTAGGCCTAATATAAGTTAAAGTTTAATAAAGTACGGCCTATATACAAGTGGATTTACACATTTAGTTGTTTACGATTACAATTCATTTGTATTGTGCTAGAAATGTTATATTTAAAAAAGTACTGTTACGATAAAGATACTGATTTGGCCGGAAATATTTTGCGGATCTCTGCTAATGTATATATTAACTCCTTAGTGGTTTGACTTATAACATACTTCTTTTTAACAATACTTTTAGTATACTTCACCGTGTACCGTTCTATTATATTGTTGTAAGCTTACATTCTTTTTGGTTATTATAATTTAAAATCAGTTTTGTAACCTGTGACGCTGAAAGACTCTCGAAAAAAGACGTAAGCCGAAACGTCGGGTAGAATTTGACAAAAAAAAACAACAACAAAAAACATCAACATTCATGTGAAGTTGTTTCTCCCGAATATGGTTTCCATCTGGCAGTCATCACTGAAAAGTAAAATTTAAAAAAATAATTAATGAATATATAATCACTCATAGACATTGAAAAGAACATACATATCTGTATCCATATATAATTGTATTCACAGAGTGATATTGGACTTTAATAATAGTCACAACAAGGTAGATACAAATTTTCCTATCTATTAGTAATTCTTGAATATGCCAGTGTGTCGTATAATGTACAGTAGAGGCCAAAAATATTGAAAGAGTAAAAAACTTACCAACTGCCATATTTCTTCGTTTAAAACTCGTTTATTTAACTTACTTCCGATTTCACCAACTCTCACCGTTTACTAAAACTGTAGTGCCATCTGGTTGAAAGATTTAGAGTTACTCCTATAAACGTTTCTGTAAGTTATGTACAGTTATAAATTGGATTGTAATTTTCAGCTACATTAGACAATAAACTTACACAAACAAGAAAAGTTAAAGCCATTTCAAAACACAAAAGACGTTGGTAATTCATTAGAAAATATTAGTTAAGATAGTGTGACGATTGCAAACTCATACATATATGTATAACAACAATGCATGAAGAAAAATCGTACAAGTAAAATCTTCTATTCAGATTTTTATATTGATCAATAACTACTTTTAAACAACAAACAAAGTTGAATATGTTTTGAAACTATAATCTATAATTTAAGTCTAGAATAATTTCATTCACTAATTCATAAAATTAGACGAATGCTTCGTTTTACAGAATCGTATATGTGGTTTGTACAGTTGTTTTACTTGTTAGGTCAAAGGTAATAGTTCTATTCAGTTACGTGAGGATACATGGTGGAATGAAGTAGTTTATACACTCAGAATATATCGGGTTCAATCTATAGTTCTATACAGCTACATGTGGTTACATGGTGGAATGTAGTAGTTTATACACTCAGAACATATCGGGTTCAATCTATAGTTCTATACAGCTACATGTGGTTACATGGTGGAATGTAGTAGTTTATACACTCAGAATATATCGGGTTCAATCTATAGTTCTATACAGCTACATGTGTTTACATGGTGGAATGTAGTAGTTTATACACTCAGAATATATCGGGTTCAATCTATAGTTCTATACAGCTACATGTGGTTACATGGTGGAAAGTAGTAGTTTATACACTCAGAACATATCGGGTTCAATCTATAGTTCTATACAGCTACATGTGGTTACATGGTGGAATGTAGTAGTTTATACACTCAGAACATATAGGGTTCAATCTATAGTTCTATACAGCTACATGTGGTTACATGGTGGAATGTAGTAGTTTATACACTCAGAATATATCGGGTTCAATCTATAGTTCTATACAGCTACATGTGTTTACATGGTGGAATGTAGTAGTTTATACACTCAGAACTTATCGGGTTCAATCTATAGTTCTATACAGCTACATGTGGATACATGGTGGAATGTAGTAGTTTATACTCTCAAAATATATCGGGTTCAATCTATAGTTCTATACAGCTACATGTGTTTACATGGTGGAATGAAGTAGTTTATACACTCAGAATATATCGGGTTCAATCTATAGTTCTATACAGCTACATGTGTTTACATGGTGGAATGAAGTAGTTTATACACTCAGAATATATCGGGTTCAATCTATAGTTCTATACAGTTACATGTGGTTAGATGGTGGAATGTAGTAGTTTATACTCTCAGAATATATCGGGTTCAATCTATAGTTCTATACAGCTACATGTGTTTACATGGTGGAATGAAGTAGTTTATACACTCAGAATATATCGGGTTCAATCTATAGTTCTATACAGTTACATGTGGTTAGATGGTGGAATGTAGTAGTTTATACACTCAGAATATACCGGGTTAAATCTATAGTTCTATACAGTTATGAGACTTAACATAACGAAACCTAGATGTCCAGTTTGTCTAAGAATGCACTACGCATGAAAGCTCATAGCTTACGCAATTAAGATTATCTGACTTGTAAGTTGTTTTATAGTACGAAATTCAGTACATTTTAAAAGAGAAAATATGTCATTTTGTCAAATTAATGAAATAATTTGGAATTAAATTTATTAATAAATGGAATTATTAAGTAATGATGTTATCAGTTGAGAACAATAGGAAAACATGTTGTTATATCTGTGCTTGAAGGTGAGTTTAAGTATTTTAGTTCCGGAGCATATTTCACTAACAGTATATTTTTTGGATGAAGTAACATATTTCTTATTACTGAATTTCGGTTATTGGTTAGTTCATTTGTTTGAGATTTTATGAGGTGGTACCTTATAAAATACAACATTCATATGAGAATGTTGTGTATATCTCAGAATAATTTCAATCAAACTCTTCAATATAAAGGCTCTAACAGTAAACCACACCGGTTTTCCATTTAGTTTCACGATACTACGAGGGTACAGGTTAATAACGTGTTACAACCATAAATTACCAACTTCAACATGCGCCACCTTTACTGTAGTGACTATACCAGCATTGCACTTTTCTACCCTTTCACGAAACCACTGTAACTGAAACTCCTAATAAAATATTAGATATTTTGGATTAATAAATATTCTTACTTTATACACCCAGCGAATCATATACTAAGAAACTTTAACATTTGATGCCCGAAGACATTTAACTTCAGAGTAAACTGTTTAAGACTCATACAAACACGTTTAAACAGTAAACAAGTAAATTTCAGTTCAGATGATGGTTTGGCATTAATAACTGAAGAAGTATTAAATCAATAGTGTTAAATTCAATGAATAATGTTATTTTCTTGGAAAATAAATCAGTTAACTTGTATCTGTCTCAAAGAATATTTTAACGACCGTTGTGTATTTGTAATACATTTGTTAGATAGCGTACGGTCAAGTGTGCCTATGAACATACCTCTTCCCCTGTGGTAAGAAGTTATGACAAAGTAGAAGACTTCAATAGATTCTATGTTTCAGATATTTGTTAAAAACCGCGAGGAACAAACAAGAATATCAAGTAGAAAAATATGGTGTAGAATGGATTAGATGAAAAGTGGATAGTATAATGCACAATATGTATTTACTGTTGTAGAATGGATTAGATGGAAAGTGGATAGTATAATGCACAATATGTACTTACTGTTGTTGAATGGATTAAATGGCAAGTGGATAGTATAATGCACAATCTGTACTTACGGTTGAAGAATGGATTAGATGGAAAGTGGATAGTATAATGCACAATCTGTACTTAATGTTGTTGAATGGATTAGATGGAAAGTGGATACTATAATGCACAATCTGTACTTACTGTTGAAGAATGGATTAGATGGAAAGTGGATAGTATAATGCACAATCTGTACTTACTGTTGTAGAATGGATTAGCTGGAAAGTGGATAGTATAGCGCAAAAATCAACAGATACTATCGTAGAATGGAGTACAGGGAAGATGGATCATATACAACGTTATTTTTCTGTTTTTTCTTAACGTCTGTTTTGCAGGATGTGGGAGCAACACATATTTCATGCTTCTTTACAAAAGAAACGAATAGATGTCAATTAGAAGCACTTAAAAAGGCTTAATTATGGAAAGTAAGCAATGGTAATTAATAGCGTTTCTTTTCTGGTTCGTAATGTTATTTTATCACATAGAATTCAATGATACAAACTAACAATTCGTGTGTCATATCATAATTAAATAGAAAGAACTGAGGAACCTTGTCACGTGGACTCACCACTTTTTAGTTGCTGATTTTCATCCAACATATTATGGAATTTGCTTTCAACGTTGCTGTAACAAATATTCACTACACTCAGGCGTATGAGAGCAATGTCCCCACTTCTATTTAATTGTATCGGTAAGCCGCCTTCGTGCCACAGCTTACTTGTATGCAATTCTGTACACATACGTGAAGCAGGACATGCTCTTGGGCACCTGCGCAGTTAACTCGCCAGAGACTGAGAGCGCACAAACCGTTGAAGCAGCTACTACAATAGACTGCGTGCCGCGTTCGCTGACTTGGCCATACTAGCAGGATCAGGTAATATCTTTGCTGAAGCAGGAAGTTAGAAGCCTTATTTGCTAGTGGGTGTGGATCTTAGTGGAGAGATTCCTAGATGTTACATTTAACATTCATGTCTGTGATCAGTTTGCACCTGAGTACCTAGTAGTGTCATCTCAAGTGATCTGTTGAGTATAAACATGCAATATTATTTTTGTTTTATAAATTACTTATAAGAGAAATGTCTCTGTTCTAGACAGAACTTCTATACTTTGACATTTCTTCACAAAGAGTAGATATTGAGGAATGATTCTCGTACCTTCTATCCGACAGCAGCAACAATTAGGGAATCGTCACTGACTGGTGATGCCTAAATAAAGGTACTTGGTTTCCGCTGAAATTATTGGATAGGTTTACCATCCACTGTTCAATAGTTAGGCTTAGAGGAGTTTTAGTAACAATTTCAGATGTGTTGCAGATGAGTTTAGCGTTTATTAAATAATATATTTACAGATGGGCGAACCCGTTGTTTAGTGATCAGTTTAATTACATACCAGGTGGACTGATGATTAGTGAATAGGTAGACTATGTAGTATATGGAACCAGTGTTCAGCTATAAATCTCCGGAAGGATTTACTTTTTAGTGATATATTGAACTGTGTTATAGAAGGACCCGCTATAAGTGACGAATTAAATACTTTGTTACAAAGATACTCACTTCGTTCCTAAATAGCAAGTTCCTGATCTAAAGTTGAAGGTAAGTTAGAATCATTTATAAAGTGAAATTTATAAAGATAATGGTAATATAATATTTACTGCAAAATGGTTATAAAATTCATAAACTAAACTTGGTTGAAACATTTGAAAAACATGATTTCTGAAAGATACTTCGAGAAAGCTGGTTATCATCAAGTTTCAAATGTATAAAATGTTCGGCACGTTTTCTCTACTTAAAGTTGCATTTAACAAGTTCGGATTGCGTTGATTTTTATTTAAAAATATTAAACTAGCAACGGTTTCTGGAATATTTGTGTTTTTTTTTATTACAATGAATATACACAAAGCAGTATTTCTCTATGATGTTATACTAGCTTCTGAACTGGATATTAATGAAGAATCAACATAATATTCTGTATTTCACATATGCGTTTCGTGTACTAAGCTTTAACCCCTGTAAGGAGTTTCTTTTCCTAACAAAAGTTCGGAAAATGTACCTTCGATAAATTAATCCTTAAAATTTGAATTTTTATCAAGCTACTAGATGGGTAATATAAGATGCTTTTGTTTGTAGATACTGTCAAACGATTTTCATTGCAGATATTGTCAGATGCTTTTGTTTGTAGATACTGTCAAACGATTTTCATTGCAGATATTGTCAGATGCTTTTGTTTGTAGATACTGTCAAACGATTTTCATTGAAAATATTGTCAGATGCTTTTGTTTATAGATACTGTCAAACGATTTTCATTGCATATATTGTCAGATACTTTTGTTTGTAGATACTGTCAAACGATTTTCATTGCAGATATTGTCAGATGCTTTTGTTTGTACCATCGGATGTTTTTGTTAGTAAATGTCAGATGTTTCTTTCAGATTGTAGATACTTTAGGATGCTCTTTTTATACATCGCCAGATGCTTTTTTTGGTAGATATAGTCAGCAGCTTTCAACTGCAGATACTGTTAGATGCTTTCCATTGTAGTTAATGGGGTGCTTTTGATTGTAGATACTGTCATATGGTTTGGTTGCAGTTACTGTCAGATGCATTCGTTTGTAAGCATTGTACGATGCTTTTATTTGTACATACTGTCAGGTGTTTTCTTTGTTCATACTGTCAGATGCTTTTGATTGTATATACTGCTAGATGATTTGGGTGGTAGATATGGACATATGTTTCTCATTGTAGATACTGTCAAGTACCTTTGATTGCACATAATATCAAATGTTTCTCATTGAAGATATTGTCTGGTGTTTTTATTTGTAGATACTGTCAGTTTCTTTTGTTTACAGATATTATCAGATGCTTTTGATTGCAGACACTGTCAAATACATTTGTGTGTAGATAATTTCAAGGGCTTTTGTTTCTACATACTGACTTATGTTTCTGATTGTAGCTACTGTTAGATGCTTTTGTTTGGAGATACTGTCAGTCGATATTGATTGCAGACAGCTTCAGGTACTTTTAGTTGCAGTTACTGTTAGTTGATTTTGATTGTAGATATTGTCAGATGTGTTTGTTTGTAGATAATGTGTGAACGTAATGCTTATATACTCTTGAGATTCTACGTTATTGTAGGTACGTTGAATTTTGGTACTGTAGTAAGGCATTTAATTTTATAATTAGCAATGTTTTTAGCTGTAGATAATGTACTATGTTCTTAACTGCAGGCCTTGTTTGTTGAATATAAATGTAAAAACTGTGTGAAGCTCTGTAGTTTAGATATTGTTTGATTTATATGATTTTACATATTTTCAATAACACTTGACAGTAAACACTGTGGAAAGATATTGGAAGTAATGCTTGATACACTGGGCTGTAGATAATGTTTATTCTATAAAGTTTTAGACAATGCCAGTAATACCTTTGGGGTAAACTCAGTGAAAACAATTCGTTGATGAACTGGACTGTTGATGTACTGGAGTGTTGATGAACTGGACTGTTGATGTACTGGAGTGTTGATGTACTGGACTGTAGATGTACTGGACTGTAGATGTACTGGACTGTTGATGTACTGGACTGTAAATGTACTGGACTGTAGATGTACTGGACTGTTGATGAACTGGACTGTTGATGTACTGGACTGTAGATGTACTGGACTGTTGCTGTACTGGACTGTAGATGTACTGGAGTGTTGATGAACTGGACTGTTGATGTACTGGACTGTTGATGTACTGGAGTGTTGATGAACTGGACTGTTGATGTACTGGAGTGTTGATGCACTGGAGTGTTGATGAACTGGACTGTTGATGTACTGGAGTGTTGATGTACTGGACTGTAGGTGTACTGGACTGTTGATGTACTGGACTGTAGATACTATATTCTAGATACTGCGTGATGTACTATAGAATGACATATAATTACAACAAAGAAGTTTTTTGTGTTGTCAAAAGAACAATTTGACAACATAGAAATAGCAATTGTTAACACACGCATATGAAATGATATTATATATATCAATGTTTCGTGTATATTTTCTTCTTAATGACTATAGTCACTTCCTATACTTCACGTTTACAAGTATACTTTATATAATATTGTAGAGGCATAACAAGCAACATTAACGAGAAAAAATAAATCGTAAACAATACATGATAAATAGAATATAATGAATGATGAAGATAAACAGAAGTATTGTATTGTTTATGTTATTTAGTGGTAGAGAGAGTTAAGCTCTTACAAACGTAAATTATTAAATATATATTGAATTAAAATAAAGTGTGTGACAACATCAAGTAGGAGTAAGTACTTTATCACCGGAAGAAAATATTAAAATAACAAACAATGAGCATGTGCAATTAAAACTTGACATTATATCTATATAAGGAAGATGGACAAAATCTTAATATGCAGCTGTTAGTAGCTCAAAAAGCTTATTTAATACACACTGTTACACTAATATGCAGCTGTTAGTAGCTCAAAAAGCTTATTTAATACACACTGTTACACTAATATGCAGCTGTTAGTAGCTCAAAAAGCTTATTTAATACACACTGTTACACTAATATGCAGCTGTTAGTAGCTCAAAAAGCTTATTTAATACACACTGTTACACTAATATGCAGCTGTTAGTAGCTCAAAAAAGCTTATTTAATACACACTGTCACACTAATCGATTTAGTACCAGCCTGCATCACGACGGGCCGAGATCGAACCTCTGTAAATTAGCTTTTCTCGTGAAATCACTTATTATTGAAGTAGCATATATATGTGTGCGTGTGTATGTTTATGTGTGCGCATATACAGTATTTGAAGTTATCATGGAAACAGTGACAAAATTGGATATTAGGTTGTAATATTATGCGATCGTATAAAAATGAACTGCAACACACTACAGTCACATGATGATAGTTTACACCGTGATGTCTGTTATCCAATCAATCAGGCAGAGAATGCCACAGACCAGGCAGTCATACTATTCCCAGCAATAGAGGGGTGAATGCAACCATGACTAACAGGGCAAAAATGTCAAATGACAAACGAGTAGAAATCAAAGTTTTTGACAAGTGAAGAACATTCGATATGATAGATTGAGAAGAAATCTGATGTTTCAGCAGGAACACCATGAAAATTCTGAATGAAAATAATAGTGTTGATAACAAAGATGGTGTATGTAGAAAGCCCAAACCACTTAAAAGTGGCGTTAACTAACTCAGGCACGACAATCCAGTTCAGATGTTCACAAAATCACTGCCTAGGAGAGATAACCAAAATAAAAAGTTAAAATGTCCCTGGTGGAACAGTGGTAATTTTACAGATTTACAAAACTAAAACCCGGGGATCGATTCCTTGCGGTAGACATAGTAGATAGTTCAATGATATTTTGGTCTAAAACAAACAAACACAAACAAAAAAATAGGCTAAAATAGTGTCATCAAACTGAATTAACACAATGGGATGAGCAAAGCTGGATGAGATTCATTACCTATGAATCCAAACTAAAATTGTTTGGTAACAATCATCGATAGTTTGTTCAGTAACAGAGAATAAAACGATGTGAGATCAGCGTACATCATCTACAGAAATCCACACTCACACAACGTATCGGAAATAATTAAAGAAACCTGTAAGTGTTACACATACAGAAGTCACAAACAATGAATGAAGATGACTTGACATGACTTGTTCAGTAACAGAGAATAAAACGATGTGAGACCAGCGTACATCATCTACAGTAATCCACACTCACACAAAGTATCGGAAATAATTAAAGAAACCTGTAAGTGTTACACATACAGAAGTCACAAACAATGAATGAAGATAACTTGATCATTCAGTTGTAACCTTGTGTATAACAATAAATTATTCTAAAATAACTAGCTATAAGATTTAATTTTAATTTAAGCGCTTTTGTCCAAGATGTACTCTTCAAATATAAATGTGCTAAAAACCCGTGAAGCTATAATCTACTGCAGAGGGAGTAGTTAATCAAAGAATAGATTAGGCCTCTTCGTCATGCAAGGTTTCTTTCTTAGTTTCTCTGACATTACACGTTTTGGAAAAAAAATTGAAAATTCACACATAACAATATATGTTCTTTCACTATTTCTTACGACTTTACTTGATTAAGATCTCATCAATTTTATTTAAGTCCAGTGACGTAGAAACGTTTTTTCTATGTTGATTTGGTCTCTAGGAATTACTGTACTTCAAGGTGACCGCTGCCACTCCCATTTTCTTCTTCTATTCAAATCTATATTGACTAGTTTATTTCTAAAAATTTCTCTGTGAAAATCTGAACACAAACGGGTGGAAGAAATTATGTTCAATTAATATTTCTTTTCAAGAGGTGGACTAATGGGCACAAACGTTAAAAGGTTTTAATACTTAATTATCGTTGAAAATTAATTTTGGAGTTTTTTTTTATCACATGTAAGATTCGGTGACAAGGAACCCACTTTGAGACTAATAATGGCTGGAGACGGCTTGAATGGGTAATGAAGAAAAACTTTAATATAAGTTTAACATAACAGCAAATGTACAACGTTTCGACAAGGTTTTGTCATCATCAGGTAAGACAATGTGGGGATCAAAATAGCC